ATCCAGGGGTGAAGCTAGACAGTATTTTTCCAGATTTTAAGGGCACATCCCCCCAAACGAGCACACCACCCCACAGTGGGCGCCGCTAGGCGCGGAAGCACATGGCGGGTGGTCTGGGGGCCCCCCCCAGGAAATTTCAAAATTTCAAGGGTCCCTGGCCACAAAAATGAGCACCATTTGAGCACACATTTAGTCAAGCAGCAATAGCTAAAAACCATAATTGTGGAATTTTATTTCTGCTTCATTTTGCCTGTGCTTTGCATACCAGCAATTAATGCAGAATGATTCAAGCACTTCCCTTACTATATCAAAGCTAGTTTTGTTACCATGTAAAATTTTGATTTCCTTCAAGTCCTGTCAATGAATCAGAAGAAAAAGAAAACAAATAAAGAATATAGCCAATTTCCATCAAATTGTTTTCTGTATTTTTTAGCGCAAAATTTTAGAGGGCACTTTGAAATCTAGACCGTATTTCCCAATACGGCAAATACGGTCTGAATCCGCCCCTGGATTTTACACAAAGATCTTCCTCTGCATGATAAATGCAGGGTTTCTTATACATAAGAGGCACAGTGGTGCACCACCGTTGTCAAATTTAACATCGCTGTTGTGAAAATGTTCCAGGGTGCCTCAAATCCAGTCTAAGACATTCAAATTTTTTAAATTTTGCTGGTGGAGACCTCGCCAGAACCCCCCCCCCAGCAATAGGGGGAGTTCCCCCTCTCCCCCTCTCCCCCCGAGTCCACCTGCAGCGTCCGCTTGCGTGCCTACGAATAAACTTTGAATCCATCATGCTCGTTATTTTCCCACAAAACTGCCCATTACCTTTTTTGTCTAATTTTCTCTCAGAAGAAACCCTGTAAATGCGTGAAAAGCACACCTGTGGTGTAGAGTAAGCATTAAGCACGCACCTGGATGCCTCGCTGGAAGCGCCGGGCCTTCGAGGACTCGCCGAGTGCCTTCGCGTGTCCTGCCGCCTCCGTGTACATGTGCAGACGCTGCGTGAGCAACGTCATGATGTCGGTGGCACCGGAAGCAGCGTCTTCCGCGTCGGGAGAGTTCCTGCGAATGCGAGACATGGACGTCGGGATGAGGCGAAACTGTGGAAGGTCGCCGCAGCTAGAATGCCTCTTTATTCGCAACTTGTGGAATCAGGCAGACCCGTGTGGGTAACCAAAAAATTGACAAGATCTGTGGATCTTTTTCTAGTCATATGATATATATATTATTGCAAGGCTACATTATGTCTAATTGTAAGATCCAAAGACCTCTGCCAGTAGGTAACATTCAAGTAATGATGTAAAAAAAATGGATTGCTTTCAATACAGCAACAACAGCGCATTTACATGCCGGCACGCAAATGACGCTGGTTTTAGCTCGACCCACCTGCCTGCAGCGGTTCGCTGAGGCGGAGCTGGAGCAGGTGGCGCCACCAGTGATCCTGCAGTGGGTATAGATGGCGCCGGTCGCAATCCTGCAGTGGGTATAGGTGGCGCCGGTCGCGATCCTGCAGTAGGTATAGGTGGCGCCGGCCGTGCTCCAGCAGCATGCTGTTGGGTCAATCGTGGCTGGATAGGTGGCGCTATGGGTGCGGGCATCGCCTCAGCTTCCAAGGATGCAAGTTCCGCCTGCAGAGAGATTTAACGAGATGTCCAACGTGTCCTTGATTAATCAACCTATGTGCCCGAGCAAGAGGGCCGCACCCACTTCGATATTGCTGCTATATCAGTCAAGTGAGCCTAGTTTGTACATGTTTTTTTCCTAACCAAGCACACAGACATACACGTGGACAACGCGCACGCGGACATACACGTGGACAACGTGCACACAGACATACACGTGGACAACGCGCACACAGACATACACGTGGACAACGTGCACACAGACATACACGTGGACAACGCGCACACAGACATACACGTGGACAACGCGCACACAGACATACACGTGGACAACGTGCACACAGACATACACGTGGACAACGCGCACGCGGACATATCTACCAGAAGCATTAAATTATGAATATCATCAAGAGCTTATGTGATACATGTATGTATTAACATGTATGTATTAACATGTATGTATTAACATGTATGTATTAACATGTATGTATTAACATGTATGTATTAACATGCATGTATTAACATGCATGTATTAACATGCATGTATTAACATGTATGTATTAACATGTATGTATTAACATGTATGTATTAACATGTATGTATTAACATGTATGTATTAACATGTATGTATTAACATGTATGTATTA